AGGGCTTAAAACAGTTCACTCCATGTACTTCTGGCTTTAAGGTTTATGTTTGAGTATACTGTAATTCTAATGGTTTTACTTTTGTGCGTTGTTTATTTGTTGTTTTCCTAAAAACTCTTACATTTCTGCCCATATATTGTATTTTGGGGACTTTTGACTTCGTTGTGTCATGGAGAAATGCTTTTCTTATCATGGCTATCTGGTATTCTTTATTTCTCACTTACTTGTATGTTATATTCTTTCTTCATACTTGGAAATCTTTCTCCTATTGTTTCTACAAAATGTTTGTTATGCCTTTTACCCTGTCTTCTCATTTTTTCCCATCAACTCCAGTTGAATTTAGATTAATCTTTGCATCATCTATAAGCTGTTAGATCCAATTTTTATGTTCTCATGTTTTTTTTGTTCTCATATACCTCTGTGTATGGTCACCTGCTGCATCAATCCTTTCCTCTTCTTCTGACACTTTGTCCTCACATTGATCACTTCTGCTTCCAATATTTTCAATAAAATTTTTGAACCTCTTAGGTTTCTGTTTGGTACCTTTTCACAGACTCCAAATCTTTGCTAACCTGGTCATTCATGTCTTACATCATTTTGTTTAGCTCAGCTAGGTTTTTTATTAAGTGTTTCTCTAAGCTCACTGATCATTTTGTTTATTGCTATTTCATTTTAAGCTCAAGAAGCACTTTATTATTCTGACTTTTCTTTGTCTCTCTTTTTATCATTTCATATAATTTAACTGTTTGACTTTTGAATTCCTTTGCATTGATGCTTCATGGATCCATTTTGGGGGAATTTGGAGGATTTGGAGGGAGATTTTGGAGGATTTTGTTCGCTAACTTTTTGTGTTTCTGTTGTTTGGCATACATGTAGGTGTGTACATGCTCACATTTGTAGGTCACTTATAATAGAAAGAATTTGTTGGAGACCTCTTTGATTAGTATCTGCTTTCCAGGGATGTGCTGTGTGGGCATGGTTAACTGTAAGTCTTTGCCTTTTCCCATTTATTTATGAAGGGAGGGTGCAAAGTAATTGACTGAGTACCCAGTTTTCAAGAAATGCCTCAATATTGTTGATGACACAAAGATAAACCAGATATTTGTATGGTGTAAAAGCCAATTAAGAGCAACAACCATTCCACCCTGGCAATAGCAATCAAATCAACAATAATAAGACATTTAAAGATTGATTTGATATTGATGTACAATAAGAAATAATACCCCCTAAATAATGCTTTAAAACTACAATAATAATATAGACACAAAGACAAAGAAAATATTAATATGCAGTAAATATCAACTAAATACAACTACCATCCCACTATTAACAATAGACAATAATTCAATAATAACTATAGAGAGCCCTTTCTGGCCTTGTCTTGGTACAGGAGGTTTATATTTTGCAATCCTATGGATAAGTTATTGGAATCCCATCAAGTTAATTCCAACTACCATTTCCAGTGCAACACACAGTGAGAATAAGGACACTGAGGAATATTTGTAGTTTCAGGGAGCCAAGGGGTCCTAAATCCAGCCATGGTGATGGCTATCCTGAACAAAGGCCTCAACCCATGCCCAACCTGGGATTTTTTTCATTCATCAAGAAAGGCGTGGGGCTGGAGAGATAGCTTGGTGGTCTAAGTGCCTGCCTGGCGAGCACAAGGACCCAGGTTCAATCCATGGTACCACATGCTCTGCTAGCCCCACGCCAAGCCAGCCACTAAAACCAGGTGTGGTGGCACACACCTGTAATCCCAGTGCTGGGGAGGCTGA